GGTGAAGAAGACGCGCGCTTTCAACGACGCCTACAACAATTTATTCCGTCACGAGAAATGATCGCCGATCATTGTGTTCTCAAGATTACGTTATTAACGCAATGAAAAAACGAAGTTAGACTCGCGAGTAAACTACTTTTCGCGAAAATACTAAAAATTGTGTTCCTATCAATTGCTCAAAATAGAAATTGCTTCAATATAATTCAGACGAAAAGCTGTTTTTAAGCTGATTTATTATAAGTCGTATATACATTTCGATTGTTTACAGTGTAAAATTGATGTCAACGCAACAATGACATCGATTATAATTTTCGATTAATTAATTGCATATTTCGCGACAAGCAAAGCAGAAAGAAATCACCGTATGCATCATCGGCGAACAGAAGGATCCTCACCCGAGTTAAGTTTGTACTTTCAATTTGGCGAGAACCAAGCACGGATTATATGCACACCGAGGCGTATTATTACGCGAGGAGTATACACGAGCGTAGGCCGTACCGTTGAGTATTACTGTCATTTTGGCAGCACATGTGATTTCCGTGATTTACTGTAGTGTATGCTTTAAAGTACTTGCAATTCAGTGAATTCTCTTGTAGAATACACACGTGAAAAAGCGAGGATAACGATCAGATTAATTTATGTATAAGGAATGAAAATAAAGAAAATTTTGCGGGAAATTGTGTACACATTTTTCTATCTCTAAACATATCAGGAAAATTGACCATGTCTACATAGACTGCAAATATGTGAAAAAAGAGAAAATACACTTGAGGAAATTTTGCATCTTAAATTAATATGAATGCATGACAATTGCCATCACACTTAATTATTTTCTATTAATTATCTCTTATCATTTATCATTTATCGAATTAATAATTTTGCGAAGGACATCTTGCAAAATTATTTTATAAAATTGGAACAATTCTGTTCACGAAGAAAGATTTATATAAACGCAAGATGCCAGAATAATATCTCGCGCATATAGATATAATTTTCTCACTTTTAATGTCGTCAGCTAACCGGAAAATGTCGTCAAATGTAAACCGACGGCGAAAAACAAGCATCACAAAAGCGTCGACGAGACGCTTAGAGGTAAGGAAACGGGTTCCGTTTGTGATGCAAATCTAACCCGAATGTTCCAGGAAGCACGTCCACCCCCGACAAGTCGTTCTAGCAACAATTCTCTCGCGACTCGACATCGTTCTTCTGTCAGTTGACGCTTTGTCGGCTGTCTCGAATCGTTGCGTAACAGGCAACGAATAAATAATCGGCCGTACCACGCTTGTGTGTGCCAAAGAACGGGGAGCGACGACAATTTGTCGGACTTCCTAACCCTTGCAACGTGACTTAAGCTCTCAAGGGAAAAGCTTTCTCGCGGGTAAGTATCCGCACGACAGATAGATGTGTTAGCTTTTTGTCCGGCCTCTAGTAAAGGCGCCAATAGTTAATTTATTCGACATGATCTATTCACGCCAAGAAGATACAATCTCGAGTGTTGTATATTTTTGATGCCTTAAACCAGACAATAAAGACTCTACTACGATAAATGCAGAAACAAGACTCGCATTTTTTACTTTTAAAAAATTAAAAGAAGTAATGTAAAAGTCTCTTTTACTAGCAATATCGCGAATTAAACAGTTATCTTTAAATATCGCGTGGTTTATTGAGACTTGATGATTTCCATGGGCTATGGATGTGCGAGCTTATAACTACTTCCGACAAGATAAGATAAGAACTAATCAAAGAATGTTGTTAAGCATTTTATCGTTTGCACAATAAAACTTCGGTACAGGTGCAAACACATTTGTGTAGGCAAGTTCATGAATAAATCAATTCGACTAGATGTTGCATATTGATTATATCGAGATGTATGTATCAATGATCTCATATGAATACATTTGGAGAGATTTTAAGCCCATGTTACGCATGATATAAAGAAAACTAAATGTTTTTGCATGATGTGTAAAATGATGTGAAAAATGGTTAAAAAATTGCCACAAATAATGAGCGCTATTGAATTAATATTAATAAAAAAAAATCCACTCAGAATTCGTTAAATAATCAAACTATGTATTTTGATAGACGTATATTTAATAATCTGCGAGTTAAAATTATGAAATAAAATCCGCGTATTAAACATAAAGATTAAAATTAAAAGTGCCCAAAGAGGAGGCATATTTTTCCAGTTGCTTGGAACCACGTGTGTGGTCTCGATGGGGCACGTGTCGTGAGCGTAACTTTTTCTCGCACACAAATCCGTTTTTTGAGGCAAGATCCCGAAATTCCAGAGTCATGGATTCCGCCAAAGGGATTCCCCTTGGGATTGATGGAATTCGCGAATGTAGTAAGAAACAGTAAGATTACCGTGAACGCTTCAATATATCGATTTTTAGTCGTCCGATTTTTGTTTTCCGTTAAACATTTTCAATACAAAGAACAAAAAAAAATCAAATTATAATAAACTACTATAACAAATTAAATAAAATAATAAATGTACGTGCCCATAAAATATTTTTTTCTATTTTGCAATTGATATATAATGTCATAAATTTAGTAAATCATGTTTCTGTATGATTTAAGAGATTTCATTTACTTTCTACAGTGAATTTTGGAGATAATCTATGTTGTCTCATAAAAATGTCATTTTTTAATCAAATAATTATAATTGACGTTAGTCAAATTAATATTGCTCTGGAATTACTCGCCATTACTCGTGAAATGTCACATTTTAGCAAAGTATTTTTAATCTACGAATTTCATAAGGATACAATAGCATGACATAAATATCATCTTCTGGCACATATTTCGTAAAACAGAAATATCGTGTGTAACATGATTGTGTTCGCGTCGTATGACATTTGCAACATTATAGCATATTTCGGAATGCCGACAGATGTTGTAATGATAATCAAGAAATTTAAATATTTTCATAAGTATTCTTTCAAAATTAATTTAGATTTCCTTGCGCCAACTTTATTTACGATATCGAGATTTTATTTAAACAATAATTTTTATATTAAAATATACACATAATACGTTAAATATTAGATATTTTTTTATATCAATTAAAATAATAAAAAACTTTAAGAGACAATAACATTAAGACCTATTTAATTGCTTTATTAAATTCATTAAAAAGTTCGGACCTATTGGAGGATTTTTGTATGCAAAGATATTCACCAATAGCTACGAAATTATTAAAGGAAGGTCACTCGTCGGGATGATTACGAAATTAATGTAATTCTGCAATATTTTCGTGATAATCAGCAATGACAAGGTTAAAAAAACAACTCCCTACAATTATCGCATATGTTCATTTTTCATCGATAACAGTAAATTATCGATAATACTATATCACTAAACTGTGACACGATAGCGAGATAATGTGTTTTCAAATAGGTATATAAATCGTCATCAAATTGATATATATTTCATAAATAAACATATATCGATTGTTGCGCAATTTTTATCATTTTAAAAAGCGCGCACACTGTAAGAAATACAATACGTAGCAAAATAAAAAAAAAAGACACGTGCAAAATTCACAGCCGAAAGAGACGGATCTTCATTATTTTTTTTTTTATTTAAAGTCTAAAGAATAGTTAAGTTTATTTGTCTGACGGGGGGGGGGGAGGGGGACTTTACACCCAGCAGTTTCCTCGTGGCGACATCACACGGTACATTGCTAACTCGCAACACGCATTCCAAGCCGACAATCTTTCGTCCCGACAATGTGGGAGGCCGAAATCACGAGAAGCGGTAAACATCGAGGTGATACTCGCTCATGCAAATTGATTAAGCGCGCCTTCGCGTCCGCTCTTCCCTCAACCTCGCGAAACGCAAGGGGCGTGTTCGCGTATTTCGCGAGACGCACAAAAAAAAAGTTTACTAATCATGCGGCACGACTCGCGAATACGACATAATTGAAATGCGCGCTTTTCCGGGTTGTACACCGCGCTGATTCTCCTCCGACAATCTCGCTCTCGCAAGAATAACAATGCGCGTCCTCGCGCGACAACACTTAAACGAAATCGCCGATAGGCGAGCCAACGATATCGTCGCTAATAAGAGTCGCAAAAAAAGGAACTGCGTGGGAAACAGTCTGGGTGTGAGGTTCGTTCGCTCGCGACTTATCGTACGTTTTACGGCCGTTAATACGGCCGGATTCTGTCACTCACCGATTCATCGGGATCTGTCGGAGTCTGTCGCACGTGCAGCGGTCGGATGCGGGTCCCTCGTTCGTTCCAGGAACTGCGAAAACACGGAACGATTCACTTGTCGCTAGTTGAAGGTATCGCGACGGCGGCCATACTGCCGTGATCCCCAGTGACTCGCGCGAGGCCCGCAAGATGGCGTTGCGCGCGGCGCTCGAGTGATAAATAATAGTACAGGTGACGGTGAGACTGTCCGAATGATTTCATTTATTGTAGACGCGGTCAAGCTACTTATAAAGTGCAATAAAAATAAAACTGACTGGCGTGTGACTCACAGATAAATATGCGAATATGAAAATATTACACTATCTAATAATAGAGCATTTTAAAATCATATCATTTAAATCTCAAATAATGCTTTTAAACATTGTTAAAATATCTCCAGTGGCTGTATATAACGAATTAAATATATATACTAATTTTTGAACGCACGTTTTTTATCAGAACGATTATATAAAAAAGTAAATATTAACAATACACATAAATGTATCATATATATATATATATATATATATATACATATAATGATATTTGTGTGACTTCACTTAATTTTCTCTTTGTTTCTTTGCTTTAAATAGAAGTAAATAATAAGTTATTTATAGTATATCTCTAGGCGTATTCGAATTATATTTGATAAAAACTTGAAACGTACCTGTGATACTTTTTAAATGTTCTAACACATACGAAAATTCGTCAATAAAATAATCCAAACTTTTAGAAACGTGCAATTGTCAGGTAGAATTAAAGGAGCGATAGTATCGACTACGGTTGTATCATTGACTACAGCTTTCATCGTCTGTGGCGCGCACAACAAAAATAACAGCTGTACCGTTCCTCCTAACCTTAAAGCGCTCCTCAATCTTTTTCATCAAATCGATTACGCTTCACGAGTTCTTAGTCGTAGTTATAATTGTTAGCAATCACGTTAATTTATCTTGAATATAGTCAGTCAAGTATCAGTGAACAGCAGCGATGGTGAAAGTCAATATACGATGGAAGACGGCCGAGGATTATAATCTTTTACGAGGAAGTAGTTTTGGTAAGATCAAATATATCTGTTAGGAATCGCGTAGAAACGACAGATGTAAATATCCATTCGTCTGTCATTTGATTTCAGCGACAAAAATCAATTATTTCTGGCGCAAAGGATGGACAGAGATCCCAGTAGTAATGGGAGGCTCGATCTTGATGCTAGCAGGGTTTGCCATGGGAGGTTATGCGATTTATTATGGTTTGTCGCACGATATGACACCAAAATATTACAAAACGACAAGAAGTAAGTAATGAAATAAATAATTTATTTTTACGGTTTCGAGAATTTTAATTGGGCTTGTGTAATGATTACGCAATCGCGAACGTATGTCGATAAAACAGAAGTACTAATAATAAATAGATAACTGCGTTATCTAGCGCAGTTTAATGCGTTAATATTAATTGCGTTTAATTTAGTTTACAGACCGGATGACCCGCGAGTTCAGACGATCCGTTACGTCTCAGTACTTGACAGTTGAAATTTGAATTTTCATTTAATGAATTCTCATAGCACTATATAATGATACACAGCTGTTACATCCTATTGTAGAATGATTCGAATAAATGTATAAATTATTATACCAACTAATGTGTGAGTGTCTTCTCTCTGTGAATCCAATTTCATCTTAAAATTAAAAGTTAAAAGTTTTTTAATTTTGTAAAAGGATAAATTAAAAAAAAAATATATATATAAAAAGATAGGCATATGTATAATTTTTTAAAGAAATATAATTTTATATAACTCTTTTTCTTTGTTCTCTATCTTTCTCTGAAATATAATTTCTACAGCCGCTTATATCGTAGATATATTAAACTTATAATCATAGCATGATAGATCCTGAAAAATCACGATCGTAAAATTTTTCTCATAAAATTGCAATAAAGGGAAAGCGGTTGACGGTTAAGTATACGACGATCGTACTCTTTTATATTCTGAACATCAAGAAGATGTGACATCTCTTGATCTTCGGAAACTTTAAAATGCTTACGTTACACAAGAGTTACATGCGCGAGGAATTTGAATTTTTTTATATGTTTATTTTGAAACGTATAAAAAGTTTGAATTTAAACAAAAATTCAAATTAATTTAAATTAATTTACATTAATTTAAATGTATCGTGGGAATTAATTGTTTTTTCTTTCATGTTCATCGTATAAAAGTTTCTCACAGAAATGTCTCTAAAGGATGTCTTATAATCATTCAGACATTCTTTAATAAATATTTTTAGCTGTGTTGTATCGTCATCGTTTTATTTTTGGAACTCCGTAAAAGATTCGTGAAAGAATTCCCTTTTTCTATTGTGCCAAGTCATTCTAAACTTACGTTTTCCTCCCCTCAGTATTCATTTTAGTATTAAATTTCTTGCCTGTGCCAAGAGGGTAAACTCTTCATGTGTCATGAAGGATTATGGGATAGAAACGAAAACTTCTCGTAACACATAATTCCGGCTATCTCCCTCGATGTTCTCTTCATTTATATTGTTTTGTAAAACGGAAACAAATTGTTTACGCATCTATTGTCATTTTCAAGGAATTTGAATGTGCGGCCCTTTCCAGCTATAACTTTATTGTATTTTATTCAAAGCCGATATACCAGTAGCATGAATATCTAACTAAATTTCAATCTACATAAAAATGTAATCGTTTTATAAAAGAAAGTTAAATTAAAATGTAATATAAAAAAAGTAATTAATTTTTATTAATATTTAATATTTATTATTATAAAATTATTAAAAAGTAGCGTATTGCAGAAATTTCATTATTTAATGTTCATCCAATCTCTCGAATAAATTGAATGCTTGAATTTTGATTACTTTGACTACACAGTTCTATTCGTAGAATTTTCGAAAAGCAACGGTACTAACTACACAATTCCGCATTCGTGATTTTAACGATAAGAATAACGGTATACGAAATCACGTCGATTAAGAATCCCATCGTCGTACGAGGAGGACCTAAATCTTGTCGACGACTCTCGTGTGAGAGAAAGAAAGAGACGCGGATAATCTCCACGAAGTCAGGGCGCAGGATCGTAGGATCGCATAGTGCTTTCCTGTGCTTTCCTGTGTTACGTGCGTATACTATTATAACTCGGTGAGGATGGCGTAGCGTAGAGAGGGTTGTACGCGTCGCGGGGGAGGGATGCACGAGGAACGAGAAAATGTGCGCGCAAGAGGGAGAGGGATAGTAACCGGGAGGAGGGATGTTCGATAGAAGAGGAGAAAGGGAGGATGAGAGAGAGCGAGAGAGAGAAAGAGAGAGAGTGATCGAAAGGGTGAGAGCAGCAAGGGGAATACGGAGCACACGGTACGGAGCACCCCTCGTTTGCCTCGCCAGTGGTTCAGTCAGCGCTTCGCACCGGCGTCGCTTCGCTTCGCTCCTCGCTTGGGATTCCCATCGGGCTCATCCTCGTGTACATCGTGTACATCGTCGCGTGCCCCCAGTCGCCTCTCGAAATCAATGAGCCCGCGACATATCGGCAGGCACATCCGGGCTTCAAGTAGACCCCAACCGTAAAGTCGCTGTAACGATACGAGAGAATCGCTGAGAGAGAGAGAGAGAGAGAGAGAGAGAGAGAGAGAGAGAGAGAGAGAGAGAGAGGGAGGGAGAGAGAAAGAGAGGTTCGTTTGATAGTCAAACGCGATAGTCAAAGCTGCCACTTGTCGCTGTAGCTAGGAAGAGAGAGAAAGAGAAGGAGATAGAGAAAAAGAGGGACGAGGAACAGAAGTGCATCGCGACGTGCAGCGAAAAGTGACAGATCGTGGAAGATCGAAAGGAGAAATCGAGGACCTGTACGGGTCCTTAACGTTCAGGACAGTGCATGTCTCGGACCTCGTTTCTTAGTTTTTTCTCCGGCAACGCTTTGTCCACATTCCTGAGGTAAGCCATGTACAAGCATAGCATGCGTTTGTGTAATAGTAAGAGACTGAGACTTTTTAATTGCATCATTTCATACTGCAATCATTTTGAGTCTACGAATCGAATTTATTTTACAATGAGAAAAGCATTTTTACAATTTTCATCAGGCGATATACGAACTATGAAAGTAATTAACTTTAATTTTAATGTCCATAGATTGTTTTTTAATATACTAGATTTTCAAATTATTTTTGAGCAATTAAAATAACTTTTGTATACATACGCAGTAATATTTCAGATGGGAATGGTATAAATATTTTTTGGAGAAAAAATAAAAAAAATATAAAACTTTAAAATCGTTGTGAATCAATGAAATATAATAATTATAAAATTATATTATTTTTCAAACTTTCCTGTAAGAATATGCGTTAAAAAAACCTGTCATATCATGTCGCAATTAATCTTGATGATTAGTGATCGTGATTGAATACGGCCATAAACGTGTCAAAACGCATCGCTTTAACGTTCCCTTGAATATCGTATATCAGCTCCGTGATATATTGGCAGTGTGAGAAACGTCTTGAAGAGAAGATCCTCAATTTGTGATTTGATCTCCTATTTGCTCAATGTTCTGTCTGTTCGTCTAGCAATTCAAGTCTTCCAATTCTTTACCTCGTTACTTTAAAAGAACAAATTTTTCAGATATCTCATTGTTGAAATTGCAAAATCTCAAAGAAATAAATTTTAAAGATATGACCGCTAATTATTAATTATCGACTTTACTAATTTCTATTTATATTTATACAAATTGTACTTTTAATTAAAAGATGTATTTTATAGCGTCATTTGCTTTGCATATTAAATAATCTTTTTTATTGAAAATCAATATTTTACCTTTGATTAAACAGATCATTTGACACATGACAAATTGATTTATTGACTTTCTTTAATGTTCTGGAATTTTAGACATTAAATATTTTTTATTAATGTTAAAACTCGTGATTAGTACTACAGCATTATTTATCAACAAAAATATGTATTGATGATTTAAAGAAAATACACTAATTTCTTATGTAATATTTATTTTTGCAATAATAAATCATGAATATTTTTCATTTTGAACTTTTATTTTATATACAAATATTGCAAACATAGGATTAAAAAGCAATTAACATAAGTTATATTCACGGATTAAAAATATAAAAAACAGTAGATGAAGAGGTTGTTATTTCTTTGTAAATATCAGCTGCATAAACCGCAGCAACATAGATTTTATTATATATCGTATCGATAAAAGCGATTTAATCAAAAAAAAAAAAGCCGCGACTGATCGTTGAACATAGAGATTTTCCGCTAAACGGTTGAGATAATCTCTCAAAACCCTACGTATACGCACATCATATACTCGCCTTCCACAAATAGCGCAAAGTTTACACATGTATAAAGTAACTGCGCGACATTTTTTTCTCGTTCAAGAAAAACGCGCGGCTTTGAAAGAGTTAATAATTATGTGCCCGTGTAGCGCGGACTTTATTGATTCGCGAGCCGTGGGTCGCATCGTACACCTAATAAGTCATTACAACACGTGCTTGTATTTGAATATGTAACATTTGCAGTTTTATAACATTTTAATTCCGAAAAAGCCGAAGAAAGCGGGAGTTTATATTTATATTTTTTCAATACTCGATACATATTTTAGATCAGTTTGCGTATACGTGAATTTTTACATGTGACCTAAGAATCTTGAAAGAGATATATTTATGTATATATAATTATTTCCCTATATTTATTCAAGACAGTGTAGCGATTATCTTTGATGATTCCATAATTATATTAATTTTAGTACTTATCACTATTGTATCAAGTATATATGTTGAGAATATTTCTTATTCTACTATTTATCGTAATTTTATTTTATTTTTCGCGGCATCCAGCTTCAAATTTGAGAATTAGTTCATTCATTGTAGCATAGCGCTTATAGATATTGATACTACGACCCGCTATTCAACGAACGTAACATCCAAGTTCACTAAAGTCTCGTAAACTCGGCCTGGACTTGAGCCAAATCGAAATGCCATAGCACCATCGTCGTCGTGCATATAACTATATGCAGCCGAAACAGCTGTTAACCCGACTTGTTGCACCGTCAACAGATGTAAAGCACTGCAACTGGTGAACTTTATCGCGAATAGACGCTTCTTTATTTGAATTATAATTATAAATTATTAATTTGGAATATAACTACATAAATTTTGTTTTAAAATTGAAATATTGATGGCTAAATTTATTAAAGTCTTTTTTGCTCGTTACATTTTATTAAATCAAAATATGGAAAATTATATTATATATATTATAACTTTATATATTTTTGCATATGTAAATGTGAATGTGGCGTATGTAATATATTAATTTTATTAAAATAGGAAGAAATATAAACAAAATTCATAAATGTAATATAAATATGGTATAATATAATATAAATGCGTCAATTATAAAAATTTACTATTAAATTTAATTAAAGAGAATTAAAATTAAATGATACAAAAAAATAACATTTCGTGAATGATTTTAAACTGTTTTGAATCTTTATTTTTCTTTTTCTTTCTCTTTATTCTTTTTTAGTGAAATGTTATATTTTTCTTTTTTTATAAGAGATAATTAAGCATGTTTAAATTTAAATCTGACAATGAGACTACTTTTATCTAAAAAGGATAAATGTTTATTGTAGAATTGTGGATTCTAATTTTAACGATTTTTAAATTTGATACACTGCTAAATAATATAAAAATTGATAATATCAATAATATTTAAAAATTATAATGATTTTGATGATTTATCCTATTTTTTCGAAATACGAATACATATTCCTGTACAAAATATAGATAAATCTATTGACTTGAGGATAGAAAGTAATAGGTAATTTAGAAGTTGCTCAGAAAATATATTTATTCAAGAGATATTAACTTTGCGAGATGCAGTTGGCATATTAATATATGCAAATATATACATTTATTCTGCTTTTTCATCGGTTTATCTTTTTAATTCAACACACATCGATTATTTTCTTTTGAAACAAGTTTAGATAGAAACTATCTTTGGAAAAGCTACAGAAAGCGAAGATATTATTTTTGAAATCCGCTCGATTTCTCGACCCAATAACCGAATTTATCATTCTCGCGAGATAGAAGTCGTGAAGAAAACTCTAGCTATTTCAGGAAGTAGGCTACCGCGAAGATTATCTGTAACACTTGATAATGCATTCACGCGAATGCCATCTCGAATCTCGGAAAATCGTAATTGTGCCATGGGGACGACAAAACCTGTCTTATCCGAAAAAATTATATGAAAAAACTTTGATGGAATCTATTTGCAAAGACTGTGGCAAAAAAGAGCACAAATTTCCGTATCAATAATCCGCGTTTCGTCAAATTTCTCGCGGTACGTCGATCACTGCGCCTCTATACGATGCGCTTTTGTGCATGCTTCCGATGCATCGTTACGATCGTTACGATACGCGAATTTTCGGTTCAAATGACAATTACTCAATAGGGCAGTAATCTTGTCATATATCCCGTTACACGTATCGCAAGAAATAACACTGGGCGTGGCAGATATAGCAGCAAAATGAGACATATTTGTACATGATAAGGATATATTTTTGATCTTAATTTAATGCAGTTTATTTTTTTATTATTAAGTTTTGCGCGATCGATATTTTCTGTAGTTCAGCTTCTTAATATATTCAATATTAAATATCGTGGTCAAATTAAAATTTCCAAGAAGTAGACTTGACTTGAGTTTAGATGAATAATGAAGTTTCGTTATTCAATTTCTTCTCGGAGGCTTAGTTTGAAAGAAAGGTCTTTTACTTTCGAGCGCTTACAAACGGCTGTCGATATATTTTTGCGAAGAAAAGATTGAATTAGATTGAAAAAGATTAATTACGGACCAATCCCGTTAAAATTAAAGTCAAAAATTCCAAGGCGGATAATAAAAAATTCCACGTTTAATCTACGAAATACTATTTATTGTAAGCAATTAAAAATAGTACATTGACATCGAGCCCGGCTGATTGATTACAGTCGATTATCGATCAGCAACCGATGCGGGATTGTTGTGCTCTTTTTACATTTCTGACACTTGTAAAATACGGTTAAATATGGAGAGGGGACAAACATATGAATAAAGGTGCGGAGAGCCCGGAGTGCGACGAATGCGGTTGTTGAATCGCGATATTATCGATCAATAGGGACAATCAAGCTCTTAATTACCGGGACGTGACCTGGTCGGTCGGAATTCGGTGCCCAGCTTTTCGTCAATTAGTTCATCGCGTGAAAGCATCCTTCCTTACTCGCAACGATTCGCGGGTTGAAAATAAACTTGCGTCCTCTCAACGTCGTTTCTTCTCTAAAATTATACCCCGCTTATATATCATGTCAGATATCTATATCCATACGCAAAATCTCGTATTCCACGTGCAAAAGGAACTAAATTCACGAGCGAAAATTCGCGATGTGAAGACGACCCATATCAAATACCTCGGTCATTTCCCTTCGTCTGCTATTTCCTTGATCTCTCTTTCTGAAGACGATTTAATGAAAATTTAATCGGACGTAATTTGATTCTACTACCTCTTTCAACTTTAAATTTCTTAAACGTAATTAACCTTTACTTCAAATTAGCTGAAGAATAAATGGTTGTATTTTTATTTCATGAAATATTCTAGACTTTAATTATATTGATTGCGTTGATGTATTTTCCTTCAAAACGAATCTACTTCAGATTCAAGCGGATTACTTTGTATTCGTGCAAAAATTTAGAACATCCTATACACATTGTACGCGGGTATTGCCGAAGTTACTTTCGTCGATGCAGGACTTCTTTAGCTATCACGGCCGACGTTGACAGGTGTATCTATCTACATAATGTTTGCTCGTACATGAATCGCTTTCGGTCCCTGCTGCTATCGTAGATTGTTGCTTATAGCTTTATTCAAATATTACAACGTTACTCAAGATAAG